ACAGGCGTGGGAAAGCTGATCATGCACTATCACCTCTGGAAAACAAAAGGGAAAAAATCAAAACAGAAAACAACTCCTCCAAAAAAAAGTAATATAAATTATGTTTATTGCAAAGATCAACATGTTCCAGCAAGTCCAACCACTACTTAGCTTTAAAGTAAGTGAGAAAAGAAGCTGGAAATCAGTGAGAGGAAGGATGCTGGAGCACCTGCCGTGTCGGAAATACCTCCGGTGCCCGGAGGAACAGGTAGAGGACCCCATTTCTTGTCTGACAGTGCACAGAGGGATCCATGCCGGGGATGCAGCTTAGGACGGACACAGATCTGGCTTTTCTGTCCACAGGTGAGGAGGGGAGAGGCGGGAATTGTATTTTGATTCCTGGGACTACTCAGCAGAATAAATCCTTGAGGGTCATCCCAGAGGCTGTGCTCCCTTCCCAGGAACTGTCCGCTGAGCCTACGCACCGAAAACAGGCTTTGACGCCGAACTTCCACCGAGCGAGTAGAAACTGAGACCAGTTTCTCCGTACAAGAGATGCCCAGCACCTCCATCAGCAGAAAAACTCCCAGGGCTGAGTGAGTCACCATGGTCTGATACCACCAGGAGCCTTACAGGGCTCAGGATGATGTTTCACCCCTCTGTCTGCTCCCTCCACACCATCTCAACAAGCTTCTGCCCAGGGTGACTGAGCCACATCAACATCCATCCCAAGGTGGTTGGCTATGCCAACCCCACCATCGCTCCCTCCTCAGCTGGGACATGCTCTTGCTGCTCCCATCGCTGAAGCCACCCGAGTGCCCAGGTCCCCAAGCAGAGCTTCCCTTGGCACAGGGACAGCAGACAGCGACGGGGACAATGAAGATCACCACAACAAAGACAACCTCAGGTCTCCCCATCCCTGCCATCACGCACGGAGATGCTGCAGGCTCTGCCCAGAGATGCACACGTATCTCTGCCAGTGCCAACACCTTGAGCTTAGCAAGGGGTGGCTGATGTGCCGTTATCACCTCTCCTGCCTCTGCCGTGTCACCTCTCACCCACCTCCACGGGGGGACCGGACACAGTTGTCCTCTGCCACTGGCTCCAATGCTGAAACACCACCTGAAAGGTGGGTTCAGGTGCTGCCTCCTCTCTTCCGGCTGTTTGCCACGACAGGCTGAGCCCGCTGCCAGGGCTGGCAAGAAGGGGGACGGTGTTTAAGCCCTCTGATGGATGGAAAGGGGCTGTGACGTGGAGGAAAACAGGAGCTGGAGGCTTTTCTGTGCCATATAAAGAGCATAATGAGGACACTGTGCACGTGGAAACATCTTTAATCTGGAAAGCGATTCCAGACAATGTAACTTCCAGATGCTGCCAAGGGGCTGAGCGTGTGACCAGTGCTCCCCAGCTGGGACAAGGACCAAGACAGCTCTCCTGGGCTGTCCCAGGCAGCGTGGGACAGGTAAAACCAGGGTGAGAAAAACCAGAAGAGATGCTAACGCTGTCCCAGGTAGGCTGATCCAGCCCTAGAGCCTGGGCTGGGGACCCAGCTCTTGCCTGGGGACAGTAGTCCCCCTGGCCTGGGCTTTTGGGGGCTGATGATGGGCTACTGCAGTGACACAACCTTCTATCTGAGCCTACCTGGGGAAAGACACAATCCTGGGGAGCTAAAACCTCCGTGTGTGGCAACCGGTGAGTCTCAGGCTAAGCTAACATCCCAGTTGCTATTTTTCCAGCGGGACATGGTCCCTTGAGTCCTGCCCAGGTGGGCCACAGCCTTGTCACAGGTACGTGATCTCAATGACGTTGGGCTCAGCGCTCCCACAGGGAAGGTGATGCTTGCAGGAGCACTGGCAGCTCACCCCGACCGCATCCACACTGCCCGGCTCCCAGCTTCTTCTGGGAGCCCAGCTTCTTCCAGTCCGTGAGGTGCACCCCATCGTTCAGGTCCTGCGGCATGGGCTCGTGGTAGAGGGTGATCTGGACGGTGCGGAGGTGAGGGCCATAGTGCACGACGACGATGATGAAGACGGCCAAGAGGACGAAGATGACGACGATCACAGAGATCATGGGCAGGGCATCCGATTTCTTCGTCACACTCCTGACAACGGAGACGGGGGTGAAGGCAGCTGCGTCCTGGGGCTCAGGCTGCCTCAGCTGGCTGCCGGGCGCAGAGGTGTTCATGGCTGAGCAGGCTGACCTGGGACAGAGAAATGCAGGGTGGAAAGAGGTGACCACCGAGCAGAGGCTGCCTGATGTCCTTATCTCCTGCCCTTGAGTCGACAGCTCCTGCCTGCAACTGCCAGGGAATGAAACCATCCCATAAGTGCCCCCTCCCTCAGGCTCGTGGGACAGGGTTAAATTTTGGTGCTTACAGCTGGGGTTGTAGGGACGGTGCCCTGGCCACCTTCAGCCAGGGAGGCGATGCCCTGTGTCCCCTTGTCCAGGACATCTTCGTCGTGGGGGTTTTCCCTCCCCACCACACCTTGTTCCCTGGAGGGGAGCCCTGCACCCTCCCCTCTTCACCCTCTGCCCAGCAGTGCTACTCCAAGACCAAACCCCCCCAAGGACCTCCCTGGGAGTCCCAATCCCATCAAAACACACTGCGAGGCATCCCTCGCCCCAGCCACAAAACACC